AGAGATATATATGTTTAGAAGTAAATGTACAGAGGTATATATACATAGAGAAGTATAATTATATGGAGTGGTGTATATGCTTGCGTGTATATATATATGCATTTATGCATATGTGTACATGTGGGTGAACATATGGCAGTTTATGTGCCTATACATTTGTGTGCATGGGTTTATACAAACCCAACCAAAGTCTTGGCACTGACAGCGAAGACTGGGTCAACTCACTGCATCCCCCCTGCCTCCAGAATCTCCCTTTTCCAGCAGTTGAATGCTGCCCAAGTTGCTCAGAGCATCTCTGAGATGTTGATTTATTTTAGAGATGGGGTGCCAAAGCTTGAGGAGGTGAAAGGAATAACCCCAAGACAGAGGCCATCGGTGGAAGACCCAGATGGACCATCCCTGCACCCCGACCCTGCAGGTCCACGTTAAGCACCCAAAAATGCCCAATGTTGGCCCAATTTGGCCACATAATTACACCTTCAGGCATTGATAAATTAAGATTTCCCTTAAAACACCCAAGCCTCGATCCTAAACCACCCCAGGGCAGATAGGACAGGTCCATGGGCACCTGAAGATGTTTAGGGACCAGCCAGGAGGTGTTTGGGGACAGGGAAATTGTGGCTTCGGCCAAGCAACATGTTGGGCAGCAGCATTCTTCCTTCATCCCTTTCAAAATCTGCTGAGCTGAGGCTTTCACTTCTGTGTCCTCCATCTCAGCCCTGCCACCAAGCCACCAAGATGTCCCCCCCATAGTGTCCTCCTCGGGCAGGACAGACCATGGAGGAAGGTCTCCAAGGGAGGAAGCCATCCCCCATGTCCTGTTCGAGGGCAGCAGCAGCCAAAATATCTTCCCACCCTAGCAAGCATGCAGAATAATATTATTAATAACGTTAATATCGGGGTGTTAATTAAAGTTAATTTCACTAGAGAAGAGCTTGTGCGGGATGATTTGGAAGCCAACAGGCTGGAGGGCACCAAAACCACGCCGGCGCGTGCCGGAGGAAGCTCACGGCTGCTGATGAGCAAAGCCAGAGATTATTTTTAATCTCTTCCCTGTCTGGCCACAGAGCAGCCCCACTTCTCTTTCTTAACCCTATTCCTCTTTCTTGGGCATCTTAAACCTCCTGAGATAAGGGTGAGCCTGTCCTACAGAGCACCCCAACACCGTGAGCACCCCGTTTTCTCCCCTGCAAGTCTCATTTCACAATGGGTTTTGCCCGGTGCCCATCACCGTGGTGTCAGGGCAGCAGAACCAGATCTCTATAACGTGCATATCTGGTTTTAGGGGAGGCTAAGAATGGAGGGTGCCCATCCCATCATCCCGAGGGCTGCCAGGAATTCCTGTGATGGTTTTTTCGGGGTAAAAAAGGGAGTTTTGGGGTAAACCACCAGGCCAGATCATGACGCGGGGACATGCAGCAGCCAGATGAGGCTGTGTGTCTTGGTGTGGTTTTGTTAATTGGAAATAGCAGTGATTTATGGGTGATGGCAGGCTGCAATTGTGGGGTCACAGGTGGTGGCAGGCACTGGGTACCGTTGGGGTGGGGATTCTCCAGTGTCTAATAGGAAGGTTGTGCTCGGCACATCCTGCAGCTGGGTTTTTCCAGGGATCAGAAGGGATTTTTCCTCCTCGCCTCCAGCTTTCCTATCCCTCCCAGCCTGGTAGCACTGGAGCTCAGTGCCCTGTTCACTTCTTGCAAGTAGGGGTTTTTATTTACTAATTTGGGGGGTTTTGGCAGGAGGGGTGTCTCTTGTTTTTTCATTTGCTCATTGTATTTTTGGCTCAGCTCTGGCTGTGGATGCCCTCTGCCACAGATGGCCTGCAAAGCCTTGGGCATGTCCCTTAGCAGCCCCCTCCCCTACACACAAGCACTTCTCCCAAACACACCTTCAATGAGTGTTTCGCAGAGAAAAATCTGTTAAAATGGGGTGTGAGCCATAGTGGTTCAGTTTAAAACCCAGTTTTCATTCCTCAGTTTCCCTTGTGTGGCTGCAGCAAGAGTGGACAGGGAAACAGAAACAATGTTCTCCTCTTGGTGTCACCACCCCAGGTGCCCTCCCTGTCCCCAGCATCTGCCCCAGCTGCCTACCCTTGGAAGAAGCAAAAAATGGGGAAAAAGACCCCAAAATGGGGGAAAGTACCGCAAAATTGGGGGAAAAGACCCCAAAATTCATAGGTCTGGTGACACAGCTGGTGGCCTGAGCCAGATGCATCCTGGCACCCCTGAGCCATGTCTGGGGCATATCACCTGCTCTGGTGGCATTTGCCAGCTCTGGATGTCCCTTGGTGTCTGGGTACACCTCTTTCGGGGGTGCAACGTGAGAGTATGGGAGGAAATGCCTGTGTGCACACATGTGGGCATGTACATGGAGGTGTGCACACACATGTGCATAAGGGATCTGCATATGTATATGTAGGGGGCTCATATGTATAGGGGGTGTGGATGTATGCCATGATGGAGGTGCAGTGCCGTGCCATGCTGTGCCCACATGGTGCTGTCCCTGTCCTGCCACACCGTGTCACACAGTGCCTGCAGTGCTGTGCCACGTTCCCGTGAGTTTCTGTTCCCCATCGGGCCCGGGGGTGCTGCCGTTGTGTGGAAAGGGGAAGCGTTGCTCAACGAGGTGTCTCCAGCACCCCACGGCTGCAGATGTGCCCTGGGTGCTGGTCAGAGCAGCTGGTCCCAGCACCCTGTGGCACTCCCTGGCACCCCCTGGCACCTTGAGCCACCCTAGAAGGTAAGACATGCTCCCAAGTTCCCCCAGGACCCCCCACCCTTCTTGCCGGCCACCTTGTCCCCAATGTCACGGCAGTGTTCCTGGTGACAGAGAGTCCTGTGAGTGCCCAGGGTGGGGGTTAGGTTGGCTGCTGCCTGGACCTGGGGTGTCAGGGGAGATCTGGGGGTGTTGCAGGGGATGGGGAAGTTCACAGCCTTGGGGCACTTGCTGGCTTGGAGGTGGCTGCTGAGACTGCCTGGAACTGGGTGACATGGGGCATGGGGCTCAGTGGGGTGCAGGGGGCTCAGTGGGGTGCTAGGGGGGTAGGAGGATTATGCAGCAGCAGGGAGGGCAGGAAAGGGAACTGATCTGCAAGCCTAGAGCACCCCTAAAAATGTGGGAGCCTTGTGAGTCCCCCCAAAAATGGGAGATGCTCGTGTGTGTTCCCAGCACTCTCCCTAAACCTGACCCCATGGCTGGGCTGTGCTTCAAGGCTAGTAAATCCCCAAAGACTTGAAATGGGGCCACCACAGTGGTACAAGCTAATGGGGTTGCCCCTGGATTTGTGTGTGTCCCCTTTGTTCCCTCTGCCCCAAGCACCTGGCCGGAACTTGGCCATTCCCCTCCCTGCCTCAGTTTCCCTTCCCAACCAGCATGGAGACACTGGCCACTCCATTTCCAGGCAAGCGGGGCTGCCACTGGCACATGTGAGGGAAAGCAGGTGCCAACCCCATGCTACCAGCCAGGGTTGCAGACAGATCTGCTGACGATGGAGGAAGTGAGAGGAGAAAGGAGAAAGAAGGCCAAGCTGCTGAAACCCAGAAGCATGTAGCACCCATGGGTGGCATGGCAAGGGATTCAGCCAAGTGACATGGCTGGGGTCTGGGAGTCTCTTAGTGACGTGGGACCACGGCTTCCGCGCTAGTCTCAGCCTCTAAGAAAAGCAGATGGCCTTTTTGCCAGGTCAGAGCCACAGGGATGGGCTCTCGGGGCCCAGAAAACCAAAATCCTCTAGGATCAGAGTGACACCAGTCCTGCTTCTCAGATTAAAGTAACCACGAAACATCTGCTGGGCTGGGTGCTGGTGGCATCTCCTGAAGCTCAGGGGACGATCGGGTGACCGGCCGTAGGGTTCTGGCACCCCCTGCAGAGGAGCAGGAAGTCATGCCGGCAGCTAACGGTGTTGCAATTTCCTCTCTGGCACCGGGATGACAGCGGTTTGGCCTTGTGCAAACCTTTCTGTGGGGTGCAAGTGTCAGGGAAAGTGGAGCTGAGATGATGGTGATCATGGCCACCATGTTGTTATGTGTGTCACCATCCCGTGTGGCCCTGCTCTTTCTAACTCTGCTTTCCTGATGGACCCCTAAATCCATCGTTGTGGTTTAGAATCATAGAAACACAGAATGGTTTGGGTTGGAAAGGACCTTTAAAGGCCAACCACCCTGCAGTGAGCAGGGACATCTTCAACTGCAGCAGGTTATTCAGAGCCCTGTCTTACGTGGCTTTGAATGTTTCCAGGGATGGAGAATCTACCACCTCTCTGGGCAACCTGTGCCAGTGTCTCACCACCCTCATATTAAAAAATTTTTTCCTTAAATCCAGCCTGAATATCTCCTCTTTTAGTTCAAAGTCATGACCCCTTGTTCTATCGCTACAGGCCTTGCTAAAAAGTCTGTCCTCATCTTTCTCATCAGCCCCCTTTAAGCACTGAAAGACTGCTATAAGGTCTCCCTGAAGACTTTTCTTCTCTAGGCTGAACAACCCCAACTCTCTCAGCCTGTCTCCATAGCAGAGGTGCTCCAGACTCGGCTCATCTTCGTGGCCTCCTCTGGGCTCACTCCAGCAGCTCCATGTCCTTCTGATATTGGGGACCCCAAAACTGGACACAGGATTCCAGGTAGGGTCTCACGAGAGCAGAGCAGAGGGAGAGAATCACCTCCCTCACCCTGGTGGCCACACTTCCTGCAATGCAGCCCAGGATGCAGTTTGTTTTCTGGGCTGTGAGTGCACATTGCTGGCTCGTGTCCAGCTTTTCATCCAGCAGTACCCCTAAGACCTTCTCCTCAGGGCTGCTCTTCATCCATTTATCCACCATCCTGTATGGATACTGCGGGTTGCCTCGCCCCAGAAGGATGGGGCTATGGGGTTGCACACACCAGTCCAGGTTCATCTTTCAAGGGTGGATGTGACACCATGTGGCTGAGACACCAACCATTCCCTTTCTGATTCGCAGGTGCTGCTGAGGGACCACACCAGCAGAGAGAACATCCACAGTGGGGATCACCACCATGGCCAACATGACAGCCCCCATGGGTGCTGGGAGGAACTCATGCACCTTCCACGAGGAGTTCAAACAGGTCCTGCTGCCCCTGGTCTACTCAGTGGTGTTCATGGTGGGTTTGCCCTTGAACGCTGTGGTCATCGGGCAGATCTGGGTGGCCCGTAAGGCACTCAGCCGCACCATGATCTACATGCTGAACCTGGCCATGGCTGACCTGCTCTACGTCTGTTCTCTTCCACTTCTCATCTACAACTACACCCAGAAGGACTATTGGCCTTTTGGGGACTTTACCTGCAAATTTGTCCGTTTCCAGTTCTACACCAACCTACATGGCAGCATCCTCTTCCTCACCTGCATCAGTGTCCAGCGGTACCTGGGCATCTGCTACCCCTTGGCCTCATGGCACAAGAAGAAGGGGAAGAAGCTGACATGGCTGGTGTGTGCAGCAGTGTGGTTCATTGTCATCGCCCAGTGCCTGCCCACCTTCATCTTTGCTTCCACTGGCACCCAAAGGAACCGCACTGTCTGCTACGACCTGAGCCCACCGGATCGCTCTGCTGCCTACTTCCCCTATGGTATCACCCTCACTGTCACCGGTTTCCTGATGCCCTTTGTGGCCATCCTCGCCTGCTACTGCAGCATGGCCCGGATCCTGTGTCAGAAGGACAAGCTGATGTGCTTGGCAGTGCACAAGAGGAAGGACAAAGCTGTGCGGATGATCATCATCGTGGTAATTGTCTTCTCCATCAGCTTCTTCCCCTTCCACCTCACCAAGACCATCTACCTGATCATCCGTTCCTCACCCAGCCTGTCCTGCCCGACTCTGCAGGCGTTTGCCATCGCCTACAAGTGTACGCGTCCCTTTGCCAGCATGAACAGCGTCCTCGACCCCATCCTCTTCTATTTCACTCAGCGCAAATTTCGTGAGAGCACTCGTTACCTCCTCGACAAGATGAGCTCCAAGTGGCGGCATGACAATTGTGTTACCTACGGCTCCTAGGTGAGGATGAAGGTCACTTCAGTGTCACCAGGACCAGGCATAGAGCAATTTTGGCTTTAAGATCCACAGAGCAGAGAAGACTTCAGCTGGGGACGTACTGGAGGACAGGACAACAGCATCTCCCGAGTTTTCAGCACTTTCATCCCATCTCCAGTCTGCAGTGGCACAGTATTAACCCTATCATGTCACAGATCCGGTGTCCTCTCTCTGGCGTGATTACTTGGTTTGAGCAACTTAGTGACATGTTTCTTTGGTGGCCAAGCCACCAATGCAATAAAAACCACTGATGGGACATGGAGAATGCAGTGGGACCATGGAGGACACGGTCCATGGCTCAGGGAGAGCTGTTCCACCTTCTCATTTATAGCTTTCCAGATGGGGGCATACTAAGGCCAGGGAGGGCTTGGTTCATCTCATACCTGTCTGGGGAACATGAGGCCAGGTCTCTCCAGCTCAACATCAGTGTCACTGACATTTTTTTTTGTAATACTGGGACATCCCTATACCCTAGTCCCCAGAATAGGGCCAAACCAGTAAGAGACATGGGTCCACTGGTACCACTGGTGCTGAGAAATTGTGAAAGAGCATCCCTGGCCAAACTGGGAGCTGGGAAGAGGGACATAAGGGCACCTGGGTCACCCATGTTGAATTTTACACCCAAGTGATGATCATGGTGGAGTTAGACAAAAGTGAGAGGTGTTGTCTTCTGCCTGGGGACCTTCAGCATCATCTGGGTCCAGCTGCTTGCTTAGCCCAGTACCCCAGATCTAGCCCATCCCTAGTGCCATGCTGGCACGTCCTAACCAGGATCTACCAGAATCAGAGCTGGCACATCTGAACACAATGCCAGGAGTCAGGAAATCCATGCCACCGTGCTACTGGGTGTCCTTGGCCATGTCACTGCTCATCTCACTGTTGGCTTGGCCTCTCCACCACCCCAATGCCAGGCTGGGGTTTGAGCTTTGCTCCCCGTAGCCTCTGGTGTGATGAAGCTTCGTCCCGGCAAGGAGGCATTTGCTTACATGGCACCGAGTGAATGTACCACTAATTGCTTTGCGAGTCTTATTTAACGTGCAGGATGTATAGAATAAACCTCCCTCCCTTTTTCCAATGGATATGTACACATATATGCACCCACTACATATGCGTACATACAATACGTCCAAGCAGAGGAAGGTTTGTAACCCTGCAGAGGCTACGTGATGCACGTATTCTCTGTCCAGAATGCACCATATGTATCTGTACAGCATATGAATGTATATATAGTGTGTATATATATATAGGGATTACTGTTTTGCTGTATTTCTCGCAGGTTGTCTGTGCGTAATAATCACGTCTATGTTCATTTAAGAAATTTGCTTCAAATCTCCGGAGATGAACATCCCTCCTGTACCCAGCCAAGCGTGTGACTTCATCCCGACTTGCTCCCACAAGTGTGTGACATCTTTCTTGGGTACCCGGCCACCCAAAGACCTCACCAGCATCCAAGGGTGGTGGTCCCAATGTGGCTCCTTGCTGTCACAAGGATGAGGAGGGTGCCCAAGGTGGTCGTCAACTCTTGGGTGATGCTCAAAGATCTCAGCATCATGGTGGGATGGAATGGAGAGGGATCCTGTGATGGCATTAGCTCAAGGTTTTACAGGAGCAGTGGCCATGTCCTGGTGGGAAGGGCCATCCATGGTGCCAACAGCTTTGGGTTGGAGCAAGTGATGGAGGAGGCAGAACCAGCTCTGGGTTTTCCCTAGCTGGAGGAGGCAGAACCAGCTCTGGGTTTCCCCTAGCTGGAGGTCATCCATGCTGAAATCTCCTCCAATGTATTTTTGGGGTGCCACAATGGAAGGGCAAAATGCTGGTAGGCTGCAAGAGCAGAGGCTGGTGGGACAATCCCAGCCTGGCGCCCCCAACTCTTTTTAGACAAAAGGAAGTGTGACAGGTTGGGAGACAGCAGGCCACGCCATTCGGACCCAGGAGAGGGCGCAAAATATTCAGATTTGGAGAAATTCAGCTGGGTCTGTTGGTGCCCACCCAGCTCCAGGGAGACATGGAGGAGCCTGCTCCATCACACAACCCCGTGTCTGTATAGCACCCATGGAATGGGATGGCCAGACAAAATTTAACCACAATACAGCTTTGAAGGGAAAAAAATAAGCAGATCCCAAAAAGGCCAGTGATGGCTGCAGGGACAGCACAGACCTGGTTGGTCACATCCAGCAGCCCCAGGACACCCCAGTGAGGTTCCTGACGGTGGAATCCTGAATTTTGGGTGTTTTTAAGGGTAGGAGGCACATGGAACTCACTAATTTTTACACTTTGGGTCTGATTATGTCCTGTCTGGCCTTTGGGTACTGTCAGCAGTTCCCTTGGTACCAGCAGGCCTAGAAGCGAGACTAATGTGCACAACAGAGCATCTTAGAGATGGAGTGGGTGCTTCGAAACATCTCATTCATTTGCAAGATGTCCAACACTTGGAGTTAAAGGACTAACTCCTACAGCACTGAGAGGTGATGAAATGTGGGCCTCTTCCCAAAACCCCATCCCGAACACCAGGTGACTGTGGGGACATCATCCTTACAGCTGGGAGGCACCCAGCCCTGAGGGAACTAGTGGAGGAGGGCAAAGGGAGAGCTGGGGAAGGAGTATCTGTCGGGGTGGGGCAGTGCATCTCACAGCATCGCTGGAGGCACTTTTAAGGTCCTGAAAAATGCATTTACAGGGGGTGTTGTATTTTTTTTAATTACCACCAGGGTTTTTTTGTGCCCCTGGGATAGGGACAGTAATGTTCTTTACGTGGCCAGGACACCTCTCCAGTCTCATCCATGCTGCCAAGGCCCCAGTTCACCCATCACCCTCCAGCCACCTTTATTTCTTGTATCCCCTGTGATAAACCCGTTGTCTTGGGGGTGGATGGGAAGGGGGTTATGAGCTGCAAATAGCAAGCGCTGACAAGCGATGCTAAAAATCCACAAGAAAGTCTGTTGGCGGGGTGGCTTGTCACCGGAGCTCTTTGCAAGTTGGAAACAAGGTGTTCTGCCTTCCTCGAGATGAGCTGCAAAGCAAGGGCCGGAGAAATCCATAGCAAAGGGAAGAATCTCTTGCTTGGCACCCAAATTTTTGCTTACTTTCCTAGTTTTCCCCTAAAAAAATAAAATTTAAAAAGCTGGAGGGAAGGGGACGAAGGATGTGGGGGGGGGTGAAGGATGAGGGAGGATGAAAAAGGGGGGTAAAGGATGCTAGGGAGGTGGGGGA